GGGAGGGGTTGGGGTGGGAGGGGAGCCGGGCCGCTTCAGGCCACGGGGCAGAAGGGTCCTCTCGACAAAAAGTTTCTCCTCCACGTAGGAAACTGGCATTGCTGAAGGAGGACTGGAGCCAAAAGGGTGTTCCGCATGGAGATGGGATTTTGCAGTTTCTGCATTGCTGTGGCGGCGACTGATGCGCTGCTGTGGCAATGGGGGCACTATGTGCAGGGCCGGCCCCGGCTTATTTTGCACCCTAGGCGAGGATCCCTTCTGGTGCCCCCGGCCCCATGCGCCCACCATGGCTCAGACCTGTTAATTGGATCTGTACCCCGGACCTCCCGTTCCCCTGGCACCCATGCTCTTAACACTCACTTTTGCTTTTGTAACTTTGCCTGCTTTGCACATCTGGCTTCCACCAAGGAAGACTCTGCAAAGAAAGGCACTTGTAGCAAACAATCTCTGCTTCTCACTTGCCTTGACAGTTCCTTGCTGGGGTTGCCATAAGTCAGTTGCAACTTGAGTGGCCTTATGTAATAGCCCCCCCTACTTAGATTCTTCTTTGACTCAGCTGAGTGACCCTTCTGTGCCCGGAGGGCTAAGTTCTTTGGTGGAATTGGTGTTTGTATCATCAGAAAGATCATAACATGTTTAAAACTCAGAAGTGTTTGTAGCTGAACCAGGACAGGGGTGTGTGTGCCAGTTTGGTGCCCCTAAGGGCCGGCGCGCTCTAGGCAAGTGCCCAGTTCGCCTAGTGAGTGAGCCGGCCCTGACTATGTGACAGGTCCCTTGTGGGGAAGGGAAAGTGGCATGGCACGGCCTGCTGGCATAGCCCCCGTCATCTCAACAGATCTTGGAAGCTAAGCAGGGTTGGTGCTTGGATGGCAGACCATCACAAAAGGCTCTGCAGAGGACGGCAATGGCCAACCACCTCTGCTTCTCACTTGCCTTGAAAGCCCCTTGCTGGGGTCACAATAAGTCAGCTGTGACTTGACGGCACTGTAAACACACAGTCTAAATTGTGGGGTGTGGAATGGCGTGGTATAGCCCCATCTCATCAGATCTCGGAAGCTAAGCAGGGTTGGTACTTGGATGGGAGACCACCAAGGAAGGCATCTTCACCCAAAGAGTCATTAACACATAGAATTCACTGCCACAGGAGGTGGTGGCAGCTACAAGCATGGATGGCTTCAAGAAGGAATTGGATAAACATATGGAGCAGAGGTCCATCAGTGGCTATTAGCCACAAGGTATAGGTAGGAATTCTAGGTCTGGGGCAAGTGATACTCTGTATTCTTGGTGCTTGGGGGGGCAACAGTGGGAGGGCTTCTAGTGTCCTGGCCCCACTGGTGGACCCCCTGATGGCACCTGGTATTTTTGGCCACTGTGTGACAAGAGTGTTGGACTGGATGGGCCATTGGCCTGATCCAACGTTGGCGTCTCTTATGTTCTCATGCTCTGCAGAGGAAGGCAATGGCCAACCACCTCTGCCTCTCACTTGAAAGAGCCTTGCTGGGGTCACCATAAATCGGTTGTGGTTTGACGACACTTACATGCATAGTCCCTTATTGTGGCCATTCCCCCCATAACACTGGGGGCTTTGCGTGATTTTTTTTTTTTAAATCAGCAAGTGACATAAAATTACAGTGTTATCCCATTACAGTGTTTCATCTCTGAGGTTCCTCCACCTCAGCTTTCAGTTTTAAGAAGTCTGTAGTCCTTTTTGTTACGGAGATAAAAGGGGAAAGGTATACCTCCCAACAAAAGGGCTAGATACATACTTAAAAAATGAAAGCTGGGAATTCAGAGAAACTGACAGACTGTAATACAATTATAGAGCTAGAACAATGACAATTGCTGATTTTATTTATTTTTACAAAAAAGCCTTCACGTGGCAGGGGGAGACTGGAGCATGGAAAACAACACTGATGTGTGCAGGACTGGGAATCTGGAATTTCATGTCCACACGGGAGCCAGTGTGGCACAGTGGTTAGAGTGTCAGACTAGGACCTGGGAGACTCAGGTTCGGATTTTCACCCTGCTGTGGAAGCTTGCTGGGTGACCTAGGGACAGTCTCAGCCTAACCTACCCCACAGGGTTGTTGTGAGGATAGAATGAAGGTGGCAGCCACATAGGCCGCTTGGGGAGAAAGGTAGGATATTAAAACAAAATAGATATAAAAACATAAACAATGGGGGCCATGTCACCCCGGCTGTGCTGAAATCTTTCCCAAAACATTGCAGCAAAGCGGGTTTGGGAAAGATTGGAGATAAGATGAGGAAAACTCAGGAGGTGGCATGCACAGAAGCACTACAGTGCTGTGGGGAAACAGGAGAAAAACCCTTGCTTCCCATTAGTACCCAAACCAGGGCAAACAAGCCATCTGTAAGAGACTGAATTCTTCTCTGTGACACAGCAATTTTCTTTGTTCTTGGATTTGCATGGGGGGAGAGATAGAGGGACACGGCATCACGTGGGCTGCCACATACAATCTGACATGGCAGAACTCCGTCTGTGGTTGCCATCATGGTAAAAGGGGGGGGTAGATCTGTAGCTCATTGCCCATGGATCCTAGCCCCGTTCACAAGTTACAGTGAATACATATACAATCCATGTCTGGTGTATCCTTGATTCTTCTTTATACGCACATTGAGTAATTCCTGTGTCGTGTTCAACACATGTACAGCTGAACGTGTAACTGAAACCACATGTTTATCCAGGTACTGGTTCCCAGTTTCATTTGTAAAGTGAACAACTGTTGGCTATTTCTTACAAACAGGTATATGCACGTATATGACCTAACCTAGACAGCTGAAGCTAGCTAATCTGGTCAGATCTCAGAAGCTAAGCAGGGCCAGTCCTGGTTAGTATTTGGATGGGAGACCAGCAAGGAAGTCCAGGGTTGGTACACAGAACCAGGTGATAGAAAATCACCTCTGTTGGTCTCTTGCCTTGAAAACCCTATGGGGTCACCCTAAATTGGCTGCTATTTGATGGTAATTTCCACCACCGACATGCGCATATGTGCAGAATGTATGTAACATGTTAATTCAACAAAAGCACACACCAGCAGAGATGACAGTTAACAGAAACAGACCGACACAGAGACACCGGCCACCTGGATTATTTTATTGTAAAAACTAAGGTTTAGGGAAAGTTGTGAGGAAAGGACAGCCCTTCATCTCTGGGGTCTAATGTCTGCTGTATCCTGAAGGCAGTGCTTGGTATCAGGTGGGTACTGGGGATGGCAGGTGGGTTCACTTCACTTTCTGGAAAACTTGGACACAGACCTCATCCTCTGCGGTCATGCGCTAGGAGATGAAAAAGACAGAACAATTATTATTTTTTAAAAAGGTCTAAGGATCTGTATTTTGGAATTCCCACTCCCCCCCAGGTGATGCTTAAACCAGCTCTTATGGAAAACCTACACGGGCGATCACAAACTTTTTTCTTTCACGTTGACGCAAGCTGTAGCTCTTTTAAATACGGGAGTATTTTTCCCCCCAGATTGTGGAGAGGGAGATTCACAGCAAGGTTCAGCGGCCCACTCTTCAAAAAAAAAATCCAAGGTTAAAGCGGAAAAAGCTATTTATTTTAAGATCCTGTGTGGAGGATATTTTTATCTCTCCCGATGACCAGAGATATTAGGTGCGCCAAAAGAATAATCAATCACCGAGGTCCTGAAGTGGACATAGGTGATTCCTGGGGAAACGCTTCAAGACAGGATTCAACCCCCCCCCACTTCATTTCCTGTCTGGCTTTGAAAAGACTCTGCCATCACACTCCCTAGCCACCACTGGAGGTACTTTGCTCAGGGCGAGACTAGATGTGATGGCGTCCAGGGGTTTGACTCACGGATGCTGCTGCCATTTTAAAATGATTTGAAAATGCTGTGAGGACTCAAGCGTGATTGAGCCCTCAGTGCAGCAGGCTGAAGCACTGGTGTTCCCACCTCACCCCCACCCCACCGCTTTCTCAAGTGTCAAAACCCAGGGCTCTTTTTGTAGAAAAAGCCTAGCAGGAACTCATTAGCATAATAGGCCACACCCAACAGCAGGAACTCATTAGCATATTAGGCCGCACCCCTGACAACACAGCTCATTAGCCTATTAGGCAACACCCCCATGTTACCAGAAGTGTGCTCATCCAGCCACACCCACCTTTTGCTTCTTATTCTGTTTACCTTGTTTGTTGTCAAAAGCCAGGGCTTTTTTGGTAGCAGGAACTTCTTTGCATGTTAGGCCACACACCCCTAATGTAGCCAATCCTAATGAGTTTCTGCTGTTAGGTGTGGCCTATTATGCTAATGAGTTCCTGCTGGGCGTGGCCAACTCAGGAGCCAGCCGGAACTCCGTTCCCGTGCGTTCCTGCCCAAAAATAGCCCTGAAAACGACCACACCCTCCCCCCCCAGCTGTTTTGGCACTTGAAAAGGCGTAGGAGGGCAGAACAAGAGTTGCCTCAGCCTGCCGTAGTGTGGGCCCGATCACGAGTGGGTCCTCATGGTATTTTTAAAATCACTTTAAACATGGCGGTGGCAGTCACAGGTCGGACTTGTGGATGGCGTCACATCTAATTTGGCCCTCAGAAGTTGTCGTCCCAGCCTGCTGATCCCCCTTAACAATGCCCCAAATCTGTGTAAGAATAAGAAATTACTTTAGTGCTGTCCCATGGTGCCTCTGGGTTTTGTGGCACCTGAGGCGTTTCCTGGGGCCCACTTGCTTCTCCCCCAAAGCAAGGAACCAATCCTGGCTTTTTCTGGCCTCCTTAGTGCAGGTGGTAATTTAGAAGAGCCCAGGAGGCCTCATCCCTGTGCCTTCATGGAGCACCCATTTGGGAATATCTTGCCCTCTGTTATTTTGTTAAACTTTCCCTTATGGCAGCCCTTGGTGATTGGTCCTGCCTCCCATGGCAGCCATTTTGTTGTGGCGCCCAGAACTACTTCTTAACATTCTGAAGAGCCCACAGCTTTGGAGCAGAAGAAGAAGAGAAGAAGAGATGGGATTTATACCCCGCCCTTCCCTTGGAGTCTCAGAGCGGCTTACAAACTCCTTTCCCTTCCCCTCCCCACAACAGACACCCTGTGAGGTGGGTGGGGCTGAGAGAACTCTGACACAAACTGCTCTTTTTCAAGGACAGCTGTGCCAGAGCTTGCAACTGACCCAAGGTCACATCAGCAGGTGCAAGTGGAGGAGTGGGGAATCAAACCCAGTTCTCCCAGATTAGAGTCCCCGCACTTCACCACTACACCAAACTGGCTCTGAAGTTGGGAAATCCTGTGGAATACCCGGCTCAAAGATTCTCTCTATGAATCAGGAAGAGATCCACTTCAAACCACTGCACAACACCTCAACCTTTTCAGTTTAGCTTCTGCACTCGGAAGGCAGTCAGCTTTGCAACCTGAAGTTATATTCACGCATGCCTGTAGTTTCAGCAAACCCATTTGCCCCTGGTGAACGGAAGCATTTTCGCATGGGCCTTTTAGCGAGGGGAGATGTACGTCAACACTCTTTAGGCGTACGTTTTTGTAAATTAACATGTACTCTTCCTTCACAACGGCTGTGGGCGCATCATCCAAGCTGACTTAGTTTTATCGATACAAGCTGTTCTGCACCATTGTATTTTATAGAGGTCTTCTATTTTAAAGTGAGGTTTTAAACGCTTGTGTATTTGGATCAACAAGCCATTTTGCAGCCTCTTAAAATACAATTCAGGAGGAGGGGAGGGTTTTGGTCCCCTGAAATATCTTAGTATATTTCTCTTCCCCTGTGCAAGCAACAGTTCAAAGTGGTAGAGTTCCACCTCACACAATCCAAAAACCCATGGCCTCACCCTGTGCCCTGGCAAAGCAAAGTCACACCCAACGGGCTTAAAAGGTCATAGCTCTGCATAGGATGGCACTCAGACTGCCAATGACTTGCAGATACTCTGGAATACAAGTCGAGGGAGGGTTTATGCCTTGCTTTTCAACACCAGCAGGCCTGTTGCTTCGTTTCCCTCTCTGTCCGCCACTCCCTCCCCTCTCCACGTCCATTTCATCTCTGCCTGCGGGCATCCACATCAGAGCGTCTTTCAGAATTTCTGAACTGGTGACGAAGGAAACTTATGCACAGACCTCTGTCAACAACGTACTTGTTGGGTTTTAGGAAGAGTATCATACCTATTGTATGTTGAGACAGTTGTGTTTTGATGGATTCTATCTTCCTTTTCTCTCACCGAGCCCCAGGAGTGGTTGGGTGAGGGGGGGATGCGTTCAGATTTCAAGGAAAGGATGCGACAAAGGGTGGATTCCTACCGAGTTCAGCCAAGTCAACTTTTGAACTCTTGGGAAGGATGTTTTTGTGCAGCAGGCTGTTGCCCCCAGAGAAGGCGCACATAACTCATGGGGGCCTAGCCTGGATTTCCCAAGGGGGGGGGGAAGAAGAGCAGGCCTGTTCCATTCTGTGCTTCTGAGAATTCCCGTCTGTTATCTCCTACAGCTTCCCGTCTCTTGAGCTCTGGGGTATGTGTGTGTGTGGGGGGAGAGCCCGGGTTGGGGAGCCCCTCCTCACCAGATGCAGCTGGTCCCCTTCAAGCCAATGTTTCCAGCCCCGATTCCTTTTCTCTCCACGCTGTTCACACACCAAGTGGTCTCCATCCCAGTCAACAATAGTCTGAAAAAAGTGGGGGGGGGTGTGCAGAAAGAGGCAATAGCGTCAGCTGAAAGGGGACCTGCTTTAAACTGAAGATAGTTTCGGAAGGCGGCCATGTTGGTCTTCAGGAGAACAGTTAGATTGGAGTCCATCAGCAAAGTGAGCTTTGGCTCTCAAAAACTTATACCCTGAAAATCTTGTTGACCTCTTAAGGTGCTACTGGACTCAAATTTTACTGCTTTTAGAGAAATGTGGGGTACAGGAACCTTTTCGTGCACTCCCATTCCCACTGTGGTCATTTTGGGGAGGGAGAGAAGCTGGCTCCCCAATTGGAGAGAGGGGGGGGTGTTTCTAAACTAAAACTCAGTTTATTTTATTACCCACTCTTAAGTCAGAAAACACTTTTGTGGCATTTCAACATTCAACATAGAATATTTCAACATGACCCCAATATATAAAAACATTTCAGACAGAACCATTTTAGAACCGGTTCCCTACCGGAATATATTTGTACTTTCACACACTAACACTTCTGTCCCGTTCAGAAAACGGGGCTGAACCGTTTTACCTGTAAACCGCTTCCAAGTAGTCTTCAGTTTCTTCTCCCGGATCCAAAAAGCTTTTCCCCACCGTTTTTCACCCATGCGGGCGATCTCCAGCTTTTTTTTAAAAAAAGTTCGCTTTCGAGTGCTATAACATAACAGCAAAACAGCGTTATAGCAACCCCATTGGAATGCCTGGAGTGTTGTGTTATAGCGCTCTAAAGCAAATGTTAAAAAAAAAAAGCCAGAGATTGCCCGCGCGGGTGAAAAATGGCAGGAAAAGGCGGGAAAAAGCAGTGCAGTCTGAAATGGCAAACCGCTTCAGATCCAGCTGTTTACCGGTAGGGGAAAGCCATGTGTGAAATGGCAGCCCTATACCGGTTTACTCCACGACAAATCAAAGACAAATCAAAAACGACTTCAAACCGGCTTAAAAAGGGTAATGTGAAATTCCCTAAGTACCCTTTTCCAACCATAGGGGCTAATGTAACTGTCAGTCAAGTCTGTGACTGTCAGTCAAGTCTGTGACTGTCAGTCAAGTCTGTGACGAGTATTTGACATGCATCTGACCTATACGACAAAGTCAGCCCTTTCTTTCTATCTCTGGGGTCAGGAAAGTCAAGGAAGCCTCAGAGAGTCAAGGCTGAAGAAGAGAGTCCCAGGAAGCTAGTTTCAGATACTCTGTTTAGAATCTGATAGTGGCTCCTGACTTCTGCAAAGTATAAACATTCCCAGGGGGCAAAAGTCATGTGAGGCAAAGTCATGTACAGGGTTATCAGTACCAGAAGGCCACAGCACTTAGCAGAGTCCTGAAGCCTCCTGGGAAACAGAACCACAGATTCAACTATAGAGGCTAATTGCTATAGAAATTAAAGTATCATAGGTGTACCAGAGGTTTAGCAGGGGACTGAGGCCCAATCCAGCCCTGATTCTGCAACAGTTGCAGAGGGAAGCGACATGCCAAGTGGATTGCTTCCTAGAAAAAACAGGTCTGGTTTAAAACCAAGAGTAGACAGTGGCAAAGAGACCAGATGCATGCTGGGTATTCTGTGTCCATAGCTTCCAGAAATATTCTCAAACTTCTTTCTCATCTTGAGCCCTGGCCTGAATATGGCACTTCCTGCATACGTTTGCTTTGGCCCTCAGTTATGGATGAGGAAGTCTCGGTTTCATATTTGAACTCTGCCATGAACTCCACAGATGGTCCTGAGCAGTGTTCCCTCTAAGCTGAGTTAGTGCGAGCTGGCTCACAGTTTTTTAGCCTCTGGCTCACACATTTTTGTCTTCGCTCAGGAAGGATGGTTCCAGAGCAAACTAATTGATGCAGCAGCCAAATTGCTCGCTCACAACTTTAATGCCAGCAGCTCACAAAGTAGAAATTTTGCTCACAAGACTCTACAGCTTAGAGGGAGCATGACTCCTGAGCAAATCTCAGTTCTCTGCTTCCCATCTGCAGTAATGGGAATGCAGGTGCTAACCTATTTCACAGTGTTGCTGTCAATGAAAGCGAGATCCTGTACACAGAGGCCTCTGAACATTCAAAAGCGCTATACAAATATTAAGACTTGCCAAAATCTGGGAATTTTGTTTTCTGGTGGCTAGAAAGGAGATTTGGATGAAGCACAGCTAAAAAACCCAGAAGACTTTGTTACTCGGTCCTGAAATTTTGCAGGGCTACCGGGGGACGTGTCCCAAAGTCATTCCAATTTTAGACACCCTGGAAACTAAATTATACCCACAGGTTCTCTGTGGAGATGAAGGCTGGGATGTTTATTGTTGATGTTGGAATTGTTTCTGAAACATGCTTTGGACTGCTATTTTTGGCACTCCGACAGGGTTTGGTTTTGTGAGGAGTTGAAATGCGAGCTGAGAACTGAGAGGAATAAAAGAGCATGCCCATCTCTGATGGCTGGTTAAAACTCACCCACCGGGCCGAAAATGAGCTTCCAAGGATTAGTCTTCATTCCTCAATTCCGCTCACTGGGTCTCCAAAGAAACAGTTCAGTGGGTCCTGTATTTCTCCCCTCTAAATTATTTCATAGCCTCCAAGAGCAATTAAACAGGAGGGTTGGAAACATTTGCTTCCCGAAATCATCAGCATGTATCAAAATAGTAACTTAGCCGGTCCTGTGACAATCATCAAAGCCTCACGCATCAGGGCCGCCCACAGACAAGGAAGGCGCTCCCAAGAGATGCAGGGAAATATGATTTTGTAGACCAATTAAAAGAAAACAACAGCAGCAAAACTGGTCCGATGCAGAAATGCCAGCCTCCAGTTGTAACCTGGGGGGTCCCTGGAATTACAGCTCATCTCCAAACTACAGAGATCAGTTCCCCTAGAGAAAATGGATGCTTTAGAGGGTGAAGTCTATGGCATTGGGCCCCCACTCCTCCCCAGGATCCGCCCCCAAATCTCCAAGCCAGTTTGGTGTAGTGGACTCTAATCTGGGAGAACCGGGTTTGATTCCCCACTCCTCCACTCGCACCTGGCTGGATGACCTTGGGCAAGCCGTAGTTCTGATAAGAGCTGTTCTTGAAAAAGAGCAGTTTCTGTCAAGAGCTCTCTCAGCCCCACCTACCTCACAGGGGGTCTGTTGTGGGGAGGGGGAGGGAAAGGAGATTGTAAGCCGCTCTGAGACACCTTTGGGTCATGAAGGGCGGGGTATAAATCCAATCTCTTCTCTTCTTCTTCTTCCAGCAGTTTCCCAACACGGATCTGGCAACCCTACCTCCCCCCCCCCGCCAGTGGGGGGACCTGGCAGCCCTAGCCTCTGATGAGAATTAAGCTCCGAGAGCACGGAATATTGGAGAGCAGCTCAGAGTCAAGATTATTTTTATTTAAAGGGGGGGGGGGATGGGAGAAGTTGGCCGACTCAGGACTCTGAGAGTTTACAGAATCCTGAAGGGGAGGGGTTTTTTTGGGGGGGAAGAGTGATCAAATTGTCCCATAATTCCTCAAGGGCCCCCAGCTTGCCTATCTTCAAATGGCAAATGTTCAAACCGCTCTCTGGCATAGAACGAAGTGTCAACATGGATTTGAACATCCTTGGACAGATCTTTATATTCAGGGGTCATTTCGTAGAAAAAGAGGTTCAGGAGCTCATTAGCATAACTTATTTGCATATGCCACACCCCACACCCCCTGACACCACCGGAAGTGTGTCAGAAGGCAACACCCACTGCTCAGGCTCCACTGGACTGTTTTGGATTGCTAGCTATTGGGGGAGGGGGGGACGTGCAGATCTGCTGTCACAGAGGAGGGAGAGCTTGTACCTGAAGGCGGGCTGGGGGGGGGGGCTCTGCAAATTACCTGTCTGCTTCTTGCTCCTCATGGCCCGACTGAGGGCTGCTGGGAGCAGGGGGCGGGGCTTGTTGCATGTGCCCGCCCCCTGGGCTCCTTACTGCCGGAGCTCCGCTCCTGTGTGCTCCCGCAGGAAATGACCCCTGTTTATATTAAAAAATTACAATCTGCCTTTCAAACGCAAGGTTCTCAAAGCAGAGTACAGAGCAATAGTGAAAACTCAGCAGGGTAGGGGGAAAAATACATGTGTTGGGCAATGTTCCCTCTAAGCTGTGGAGTCTTGTGAGCAAAAATTCAACCTTGTGAGCTACTGGCTTTAAAGTTGTGAGCAAGCAATTTGGCTACTGCATAAATCAGTTTGCTTTGGAGCCATCCTTTGTGAGCCAAGACAAAAATGTGTGAGCTGGAGGCTAAAAAACTGAGCTAGCTCACACTGACTCAGCTTAGAGGGAACACTGGTGTTGGGAGAGCCCTGACCTGGATAGCACAGGCTAGCCCATTCTTGGTCAGATCTTGAAAGCTAAGCAGGGTCGGCTCTGGCTACTATTTGGATGGGACACCTCCAAGGAATACCAGGGTTGTAACACAGAGGCAGGCAATGGCAAACCACCTCTGAATGTCTCTTGCCTTGAAAAACCTACAGGGGGGTCACCATAAGCTTGATGGCACTTTCCACCACCATTGGGACAGAGGCTAAACTGCACAGCAGCAGAAATATACAAAACATAGTTTTTTAAGATAATTAAAGATCAAATGCTTGACTGAACCAGAAGTTGCCCATCTGCACAGGCCTAGCGCCTGAATGTGGCAAGTCTCTGGTGGCAGGAAGTTCCACAAGCACAGGGTCAACACAGAGGAAGACCGAGATTTTCACTCAAGAAGGTTTTAATACTGACATACTTTCCCCCAAAAGTTAAGTCCAAGGGGTTCACATTTTAAAAAAATCACCATTCAGCGCCACCCAAACAAAAATTACTTTGCATTGATAAGATTTCAAGGAACGCCCTCTACTGTGTTAGACATCCTAAACCCCCTTCGACTCAAGCCTGGCCAAGATGCAAGTGGAGACATTCCATGCTGTTCTGCACCTTTGACGATAACCGAGTAACAAACAAACGGCTTCCTGCGCCTGTGACTGAAAAAGCATGTCAAGTGGCCAGGCCGGCAGAAATTAGAAC